ATCACAAATTACGGAGTACATAGGCACCTCGATCAACTCCATCACAGCACGTATCACGCTTCCCCCCCAGCGCATCGCCAAGATCTGAAGAGCAATCCACCGGTTTCGTCCCCACAGGACAGTGTCAGCCCATCATGCTCAACATCTCCTCGGGCTTATGGCCTCCACTACCGCCGCTTTTCAGCATGCTCGACTAAAAATGAGATCCTTACAGGCATGGTTTCTCACGTTGTTCAATCCACTAACGGACGATCCACGCAAACGTCTCAGAGTAACGCCGGAACTCTGGCAACAACTCCAATGGTGGACATTTCCTCCCCATCTCCTCATCGGTCGCCCATTCCGACCACTCCAGCTTACAGCCCAAGTGACAACAGACGCCAGTCCTGTGGGCTGGGGCGCTCATTGTGGCGACCACAAGATTCATGCCCTCTGGTCCAGCACAGAGCGAAAACTTCACATCAATCAGCTGGAGATGTGGGCAGTCATAAAAACTGTTTGAGCGTTTCTTCCACTTTTATGCGGACAAGCCGTTCAAGTGGTTATGGACAATACGACCACAATGCATTACATAAACAAGCAAGGAGGCACCCGCTCCCTCTGTCTTCTTTACCTAGCAGTTCTTCTGTGGGAGTACTGTTACACCAATCACATATTCCCAGTGGCTGTCCGCATCCCGACTTCCGACAACCAGTTGGCGGATGCACTCAGACGCCTAATTACACAGACCCACGAATGGGAACTTGATCAATCCGTTTTCCTCCAAATCTGCCAAAGGTGGGGAAATCCACACATCAATATGTTTGCAAGCAGCAACAACAAAAAGTGCACCAGATACTGCTCCAGGACAGGTTGCGGCCGCGACTCGCTAGGGGATGCATTAAGGGTTCTGTGGGAAGAGACACTTCGCTACATGTTTCCCCCTCTTCCTCTTGTTCATCGAACCATAGTCCACATTCGCCAGACCTCAGCAAATGCCATTCTCATAACGCCCTTTTGGCCACGTCAAGCGTAGTTCTCCACACTGAGAAACATGGTGGTCGATTACTTCGACCTTACAAGCATCCTGCACCTCCTCATGCAGAATGACGGCAGGCTCCACCATCCAGATGTCCTGTCCCTCCATCTGACAGCCTGGAGGATTCTTCCATGATCAGAAGCGTCCTGGAAAAGGCCAGAAAACCCTCCACTAACACTCTATATACTTACAAGTGGAAAAATTTCTGCAACTACGCCTCCTCTAACGGTTTTCAGCCCTCCCCAGTCTCCTTGTCGGATCTCCTCCACTACTTGAAACACCTGTTCGACCTTGGTTTGTGTGTATCTACCCTCAAGGTCTACATATCGGCTATTGTGGCACACCAGCCTCGCAATTGCAATGCAGTGAAATCCTCGCACCCTACATTAAAACTCTTCCTGAAGGGACTCTCCAATCTTCGCCCTACAGTCAGATCGCCTCTGCCTCAGTGGTCACTTCACCTCATCCTTCATTATTTGGCACAACCCCCCTTTGAGCCATTAGTATCTTCAGATTTTAGGCTCCTGTCGTTTAAGATCCTTTTCCTCGTTGCTATCACTTCGGCTAGGCGCGCTAGTGAGTTAGCAGCGCTCAAGGCAGATCCTCCTTCAATTTTTTTCTGGATAAAGTGGTACTCTACTTGGACACTGCCTTTCTACCCAAGGTGGCATCTACTTTTTACCTAAATCAACCTATGGTTTTACCGATGCTTTTTCCTAATCCATCCTCTCCAGCTGAAAGACTACTTCATAGCCTTGATGTGCGAAGGGCATTAGCGTTTTATATCTCACGGACTAAAAGCTTCCGTCTTTCTAACAGACTTTTTGTATGTTTTCACGGCCAACGCAAGGGACATGCTGCCTCGTCTCAGACCTTGTCGCGTTGGCTCGTTTCCAACATTACTCTCGCTTATGAGCTGGAAGGCAAGACACCTCCTGCCACTATCAAGGGCCATTCCACACGAGCAATGTCAACTTCTATGGCCCTACTGAAAGGAGTGAACCTAGTGGACATCTGCAGAGCTGCAACGTGGTCCAGATCCTCCATGTTTATAAAGCATTACAGCCTGGACCTCCGAGCTAAAAGAAAGGCCAGTTTTGGGAGAGCTGTCCTTATGTCGTTACTTCAGTGACGGCCCTCCTCCGGTAAGATGGCTTGCTAGTCACCCTATCGTGCGCATTCACAGAGGTTACGAAGAAGAGGAGGTTACTGTTTTTACTGTAAGCCGCCTAGAGTGGTCTAATATGATCAGATAGGCGGGATAGAAATAAAATAAATAAATAAATAAATAAATAAATAAATAAATACTTACCTGTAACC